CTTGCCGGCCATCACTAATGGCCGGTTGGCCACCAGTGTTTTCTGCAGATATTTTTTGTGCCAGCTATTTGCATAGATTCTTGTATCTGTCCACACGTGGAGGGCTGGATCTCCATGTATAGAATTCATGTTTTCGCTATATAGGGAGTCCCTCTCTCATGTTTTGAGGTTGGAAGATTTCAAACTCAAAAATTCTCTCTCTCTCTCTCTTTCTCTCTACATTCCTCTCTCTCTTGAAATTTTGTGCTTAGTTGTTAAATGCACTATACTTTTGCATATCAATCCTTAACCTAAAGTGATCACCTTAGAGCTGAGGCCCTTTGAGGTCTTGATTGAGCTCTTGAGGGTGGTTTTGCTTGCATTTGTGCCTAAAGTGGTGTTTGGCTCCAAGAGATATAACATTTGTCTTTTAACTTGTTTTAGTACACTTGTTTTCCTATCTTTTTCTACTGTCTTGGGGCTATTTTTGAGCTGTAAAAACCTCTGTTTTAATGGGATGAAATTGGTGTTTTAAGTCATTTAAGGTTGGGGGGTGTCTCACCCTTCTTTATTCCTTACTATTAAGGCTTTTGAACCTTTGTTTCCCATTTTCAAACCTACTTTTTTTTGCCTTTTAACCATTGAATTTCAGAGTATTTTCAGTGGCAAAAAACATGTTTTAAAGTTCAAAATTGGAGGGGTTAGCCTCTCTTTCGTATGTCTTGTTTGCTAGCCTAGTTAACTCCATGTGTTAGTATGTTTTTCTAGCTTTTTGTAGCTATATTCCAGCATGTTTTTGCCCTTGTTTTAGACTGCTTTAGCTCTGTTTTGGGCTGTTTGGGTCAGTTAAGTCTTGTTTTGCATGGTTGTAGTGTAATAGTCCTCACAAGTTTGGTGTTTTATGCCATTAGACACCTCTTGTTTGAGTTGATTGCATGCTTTGGTGTTGTTTTGCACTTCATTTTAGCACTAACCACCTCTGCAACCTCCTTCCTTTCTTAATTTTTCTTTTTTGCTTTGACAGTTGTTTCAAGTCATTTATTTGCTTAAGTATGGAATTGAGGTTCCATACTTAATGGTTCAATCCTTTTGTGGGTTCATTACCAACGGTATGAGACTTCTTTCATACCCAAAGCAACTTGTGTTTTGAGCCTTTTTTCCATTAGAGGACTCTAACTCACCTCTGGGACTTAATTCGACTAGGTAATGGTTGGTAAGTTAAAATGAGTAACTAACAACTTAGGACTAAAATTGAGCAAGATAATAACTTATGTGTTGTGTGTTCAATCAGACATTAATTGAACATAAGGAAAATTGGGACATTTCATACTCAAAATAATGAAATGTCTCAAGTTTCCTAGGTCTTCATTGCCCTTGATTATGCATAATAGGGTGATGCTTCTTGAGTTTCTTGTTTTGCATTAATTGAGCTTGCACACCTTGAATCACAAGCCATCATGTGATGAAATTGCTTAGATTGGTGGTTTGTGGTTTAAGTTCACAACTCCTTGGATTTATCTATGAAAAGAAGGGGTGAATTATGCAGACAACCCTTGGAAAAACCCTCTTTTTGCTCTATTTGTACTCTGTTGTAGCATGGTGATCCAGTGCATCAGTGGCCTGCAGGCCACCAACCATGGTCAGCAGTGCACTATAGATGGCCGACAGACCACCTTTTTGGCCGGCAGATGGCCGGCAACATTTATCTATGGCCGACTGGTCACTGATGTAAACCTCAGCAGAATGTTGGTAAGGTGGAGCAGAAAGGTTCTAAAAATGTTCAACTCTGCAATCAGAGACTTTCGAGAGCAAAACGGAGGTCTTTTCGGGCGGAAATCAAGCATGTGCATCTTCTACTTCCCAAGGCGGAGTAGTGGCAACGTAGTTAAATACCTTAATTGCTTAGGTTGTTTACATTAGTGTTGTAATAATTAGTTGATTATTTTAGTTAGTTATTCATTTGGTTTGTAATAATTAGTCTAATTAGCTTAGCCCTTAGCTTAGTTTAGTTTATTCATTCGAACCCTCCTTTGTGAGAGCAAAATGTAATATTGTGTATGTCTTCCAACCCTACGTCTTTCTCCTTTTTATTTAATCGATTTTGATGGTTAGATTAGGGACATGTTTCAATTAGCATACCATATGCTTGCTTACATTCATCTTGTCATGCATGCACCGAGGCTCTACTGCATTGTCATTTCAATAATCCTTTAAATACGTGTTAACCACATGTTATTTGATTGAATCATATGCCATATTAGTAGCCGAGCCTATTAGTTGCATTCTTTGCATATGTTGCATTATACATCTTGTATAGTTAGGGATCATACACTTTTTTTTTTTTCTAACTCATATCTTTTTGGCTTGGAGTACTAGGTGAGTTTTTAATGCTTTAGCATATTTCCATGAATGTGAATGTTGCCATGTCTAGCATGCTTGCCATGAGGCTAAATGCTTACTTGCTAAACTACTTGGAATGCTTGTGGATGAAGGCTTGTTGTTTGAATTGGAATGATTCAACAAATGTGCATTTTAAGCCCACTTTGTTGAGTGGCAAATCAGTTTTAAGCTCACTATGTTTGGTGGCAAATTTGCAAAATTTAAGCCCACTTGAGGTGACAAATTCAAACCATTTTCGCAAACAAACAGAAAATTGAGTTGTTCCAATTCTTGCAATTTTAGTCTATACTTGCTTGTGCGCATCACCTAGTAATGCTAGCCTAATAACCAGAACAAGAGCATATAATGTTTATAAAAAATCATATCATGATTAATAGAGGCCGACCTTTGATCGGATAAGTAGGGTGCTCAATTCATGACCTTTTCCTCTTGTACCTAAGTTCCCGAGCTAAGGCAACTTTGGTGATGATGGACACGTGGCCTTTAGCACGAGTCATGGGTTTCCTAAATTTCTACAAAAATAAAATATTTAGGTGGTGACTCTGTATCTGACAAAGCAGTCCGCTTTTGGCACTTTTTGATTCAAAATCAATTTTCCAAAACGATTTGCCAGATTTGGACTCTTTGGTGTTTATCAGTTTCACATTGCACTTGTGAGATTAAATTCAGAACTGTGGGAGTCCAAATTGTAGGGCTTTCTTTTCGAGTTTCTGAAAGGGGGCGCGAAAAAAGCCGAACTACACACCCTCATCTGTCTCCTCTATTTTTGAAACACCTCACGGTTCTGCTCTCTCTCTCTCTCACTTTCTCTCTTTCAAACTGTCGACTGCTGACAATCTCTCGCTCAGCACTGCCAATTGACGATGATCTCTTATTCAACGTCGCCGATGATCTCTCTCTTACTCACCGCCGATGATCTCTTTCGCTCACCGATGAGAAGAAATGATCTCTCTCTCAAATCGCTGATCGTTGGCAGGAGTAAACACGAACCAATAAGATAGATTTTGCTTAAATCAGTTGAAAATATTTTGATATGGGACTGAAGATAGTCTTCTTTTTTTTATATAATGAATTTGGGATTGTTGATTTTTATGAGATAGTTTTGATTAAAAATTGGGAACTCAGTGGTCGTCGACGGTGGTCTGCCGTGAAGAAACAGAATAGAGAGAGACAATGGAAAGAGAGAGAAGACAAAGCTTTTTTTTCAGAAAAAGAAAAGAAAGAGATCTACACAAAAAAAACACTTGGTACCCATTTCCATTTTTCTTGATTCTTTTCTTCGTTTGGTTGCTTAGAATCTCATAATCTTCTTGGAGGATTTCTGATTGGGTTGCTCTGTTTTTTTATTCTTGAATTGGGTTGCTCTATTTTTTCTCTTTTTTTTTTTTTTTTTTGGGTTGTTTTTTTTGGGGTTAATTCTTCATTGTTGTTGATGCTTCGTTATTGTTGTTAACTGTTTTGTTGATGCTTCATTGTTGAAACTTATTTGTCTTCAAATCATTTTTCTGAACAATGGAGCACTCTTTTGTATTTTCCTTTACTTTGCCAAACATGGATGCTTCATTGTTGAAACTAACAGAGCACTTCTTTTGTATTTTCCTTTGCTTTGCCAAAATATGAATGCTTTTGGGCCTGAGAAAGAGAGAGGTAGAGAGGAGAGAGAAAAGACAATGGGCATGAGTCAAGAAGGTGAGATAGTCTAGCAATAAATTCGGGCAATTCGATCTCCTTTTGGTCGAGTAACAAATCATTTTTGATTGATTTATTTAGTCTATTTTGTTTTTTGTTTTTTTTTTTGGTGGTTTTTTAGTCCCAACTAAGTTGCCAAACGGTGACTTTAGGTTCGTTTGGGAAGAGCTTGTTTAGCCTGACTTTTTTGATTTTTAGCTAGTTTAGCCTAGCTAAATTAGTTCCACTTGGAAAGAAACTTTTTTTTTGTTTTTTTTTTTGGGTGAGAGAAAAAGTGAAATAATTATGATTTAGATGTGATATTTTATCTTATTAACTTATTTAATATATTTTATATTTTTGTGCTTACAAAAACAGATAAAGATCATACTTTTTTTGTGTGATGTATGCTATTTAATCACACATTTTAAGTTTTATTAAAGTGTGATCTTTGGGAGTGTGATTAAAAGGGGTCATTTTTAATCACACTTTTTAAGTTTGCTTAATAACATTTAGATCACACCTTTTAAGTGTGATTAAAAATATTTAGATCACATCTTTTAAGTGTGATTAATAACATTTAGATCATACATTTTAAGTGTGATTAAAAATACTTAGATCACATCTTTTAAGTGTGATTAATAACTAATAAAATCTGTGATAAAAAAAGGGTTCTACATATTTGAAAAATAATCAATATTATTTTTGTATGCACATTTAAAGAATGTAATACACACTGTATACTATACTTTGAAGTATAACCACATATTGAATAGAGTAACGTCATATATTTCATAAATGAAAAATAAATGTTCAAAAGTATATGCAAAGAAATTAAATAAAAAAAAATTAATTGTGCTTACATATATTAAAAAATGAAAAACTTAAAAACTAAGTTCTTTAATTCTTTGGCCATATTTTGCATCTCTCTAAGAAATTTCTGACCTCAAAAATGAAAACACAAATTAATTTAGAAACCGCAGAAGCATATGAATAAACTATCTGTTTATAGAGACTATTCTAGTCTTACAAAAGATTCAGTCGGACTTTTTCTCATCATACTGACTCTTCATCTCCTGCTTCAATAGAAAAATAATAACCACTTTGATTGAATAATCAATTCTCATGAAAAAAATGGACCAAATATCTTAAGATAGCTGAATATGAACTATGACTACAGGGCAACAATGCTCAGGAGAAGGAGAAGGAACAGGGTTATGCAAACATTTTATTTGTGCCCTTAAATATAGGAAAACTCATGTGTTAAAAGATTTTAGCAGTTAACTCATCGTCAGACATGAACATGCAGAAAACAAATTAATAGCTAAAAGAGTGTTGTCATCTCCATTTAAAAATTGATAATTATTTCAAGACATGAACATGCAGAAAACAAATTGCTCCATTTCTTAAACCAGATAAAACAATCTGTCCCTGCAACAAGAGACGAGTTTGCTACATTGAAATCATATAGTGATAGTCACTTAACCACAGACAAAGGTCATGTAATGATAATATATAAAAAAATATCAAATAAGAAATGTAATGATAATATATAAAAGTACAGTAATGCCATTTATAAATCTTGAGATGAGGTCAATATCTACCAAGGAAAAAGTTGTAGACTTGATTGTGCAAAGCTTGTTAACTGTTGATGTGCAAATTCTGAATTACATATTGGTGCCACATGGAACCTAATGGAATTAAGATTTTAATCAAGTAAGTTTTATGTCAAGTTTTCTTTAGGTTAATGTGTTGCAAATACTTTAATATGAAGTTTGTGTAACCTCAGAATTCTTAACAAGATAGAACCAAAAAAAAGAAAGAGTGATCCACTTAGTAATCCAAAAAAATAAGGAAGCAGACGTAAAAATAGAAAATTTAGAAACATTTGTATGGAATCTTAAATGTGATAATTACTGAATGATCAAGTTGTAGTGACAAAATGTTACTTTTACAACGAAACATCCATGATTGCACACTAGTTTCCAGATTTCCAAAGGCAGTTCCAAGATCAGTGCTTATACCAACCAAAAGTAAAAACAAAACAAACAGGAACAAAACATGAAATATTAGTCATTTAACACAGTCCTGATTGTCATTTTCAATAGGGCCACAACCTGTTAATGTCATTACTACTTGTGAACTAATGAAGCATGCTAATAAAGGTAAAATGGAGAATGAAGTCATCTTTCATCAAATGCTGGAGAAGCAAATCACAAATCCACTTCAATTCAATAGTCATATTCATAAATCTCCAAAAATAGGCATCAAAATTCAGAACCCATATGTTAAATAAAGAAATTAGTGTCATTAACATGATTGATTGAAATCTAAAATTAGATAATGCACTTTCTTTTAATGGATTGAGGCCGGATGTGCATTCAGAATAAATACACAATTATCAAGGATGGTGAATTATGTAATTAGTTTTACATTTGGCTGTTCTAGGAATTCTTGGTTCTACCCTTGTTCCTATTGAAGTCTCGAAGTTAGCAAACAATTAGCAAGCTACCAACCGAGAGACAAAAAGTGGAAATTCTATGTTAACAAAAATGGCCCAACACAATGTGAAATCACAATCTTAAAGTTGACATAACTATGCTAACTTAAACGGATAATGGAATACATGAACAATGTGAAGCCTCAGTCATAGGGTTGGGCAATTCTTTTGACAAACTGAGAGAAATTAAAAGTGTTATTGAAGAAAATAATTGAAACCTTCTCACAAAAATCTAAAGTAATTTACGAATTCCAAAAAAAAAAAAAACATCATTGATTCCACAAAACATTATACTGGGCCATAGATATTTATGGAAATTATTAAGTCAAATAGAAATTTAACATTTCTATAAACTAAACATAACTTAAACCCTGATTCATTGAATTTTTTTAGTTTAATAGAATAGAGAGTCTGAGGCAACATTTATTATCAATCTGATATGTAATTAATATACAAGCACATACTCAATCAAACAAGTTATAGATAGAAGTGGATACATGATGAAAGCACTAGCATCTAAATTATAAATAAATAAATAAATAAATAAAAGAAAAGTTCAAAAATTGTTGATTTATTCTACATGATTGTAATTGAGATTCATTGTAATCACAAACAAAATGAGGGGGAATTTTTTGTTCCAATCTTTGAAGGTTTCTCCCCTTTGGTCCATCTATAGAGATGAGTAAGGAAAACTTATAGCTTCAATCTAGTGTTGGAAAGCCAATTTCTGTGCTTTGGTGTCCTTGGACAAACCCTTACCAACCTACCCAACACAATTAACATGATAATCTTAAGTCACTTCGTTGAACACATAATAATATAATACTACTTAATTATTAGATTAATTGGTATTTAAAGAAAATTATTACAGATTCATGAAATTTTTTAAAAAGAGTTTGGTTATTAATGATGTAAAAGTTTACCATAGATGATTTTATAATTATTTTTAGAAATTACACTGAATTGGGGAAAAAATTTAGAAGAAGAGGAAGAAGTAGATGACCTTGGAAGCATTCAACCTGACTCGACTCCAGCGAGAAGCTGCGGTCTCTGGTTTGGAGAAATTGAAGAATGTAATCGTACTGTGATTCAACCGAGCATAATCGATCGCTTGCCACCTTCAAAAGCATATATAAACAAACATCTCTACTGTAATTGATTTGAGCTTGTACATATATACATACATATTTAAAAAAACAAAAAAAAAAAAATCAAAACCCCCAACAAGAAATTGTTGAATCAAATGCCCTAATTCAAAACCCCCAACTAGAAATCGTTGAATTAAAATCTAAATAGTTTAATCAAATACCCTAATTTAAGAAGGAAAGGGTTTCAGAAAAGAAAAGAAACAATCTCTAGGTTTAGAACCTTACCAAAATTGCAGGTCTTTCCCAAGCCAATGAGTTTCGAAAGGTTGTAAGGGAAATGAAGAGCACCGTCTATAGCGAAGAGGGTAGGTGTCTATTGGGGAAGAAGATCTGAATTCGGGGAAGAGGAGGAGACACAAAGGTTGTGCCGATGAGGCGTTTGTCGTTCTGAGAGAGAGAGAGAGAAGAAGAAGAAAAGAAGAAACTGTTGCGCGTGTGTGATGGGTGGGAACTCTCTAATATGTAAAATGATCTCAGCCATTTATTTGTTGTTTGGAAAGATCTATGGACCATTCTAATCAATTATAAAGGATATATATTTTCATGTAAAGGATTAATTATAAAGGATATATATTTCTTTTAATTAGAAGTAGCCAAAGAGTTAAATGTAATTTGAATTTTTTTTTTTAATTTGTGTTTTGGGTTGGGGCTTTTTTTTTTAAAAAAAAAATTGGGAATTGTATATTTTATATAAAAATCAAATTGGAATATTTTATACAAACATACCTATATATAATCACACTTATTTAAAAAGTGTGATTAAAAAGTAGTAATGTATATATAATCACACTTTAATTAGAATGTGTGATTAAAAAATATATAAATAATCACACTTTAATTAAAACGTGTGATTAAAACACACACACATAGACACACACACACACACACATATATATATATAATCACACTTAATTGAAAAGTGACATAAAAAATAAATATTATCACACTTAATCAAATTAAGTGTGATTAAAATATCAATCTAATTTTTTTTTATCACACTTCTAATAAAAGTGAAATATTTTTTTTAATCAAAATATGATCTTTCATTATTTTTGTAGTAGTGTGTTCTCTATCACACCACTTTTGTTGATACTGCGTCCCATATTTGTGATACTTTAAAAATGGATAAGCATGTTTTTCACTCATAGTGGACTTACATTGACTTGATCCATCCTCTACTTGGGCTAAGTAAATCCAATCTGCTACAAAGCTCGACTGGTAGTTCAACAGCTTTGTCACATGCCTGCTTTGCTGCCATGTGGGAAGCTTGGCCATGTGCGTGGTAGTTTGGATTTCATCTTCCACAACCAAAAATTAAAAGATATATATATATATATATATATATATATGTGTGTGTGTGTATATATGGTCTATATTATTTTTAAGTACGAGTCTCGTTGTATTGGAGTTAAATCTATATCACGTACTATTTTTGTTAATATTTTTATTTGTCTAAGTTTTTGGTTCCTCGACATTAGGCTATGTTTGAATGATCAAAACTTAAGGAAGAATGGGAATATTATTAGTAATAAGATAATATTAGTAATAAAATTCATGCATCAATACACTACAAAAAAATTAAAGTTTTAGAGACTAAAATTTAGGGACAGAATTATGTTTTAGGAACCAAATATTTTTGTTGCGAAAAGTGTCGTTATTATATTTTTAGCAACAAAAAATTAGACATTAGTGAGACCATCTCCAACGCTTCACCAAACCTTACATCAGATTTGAAATTTGGTGAAAAAGTCACTTTTTGCAGCTCCAATGGTTTCATCAAATTAGTATCAAAATAAGAATTCATCAAATTTTTCATCAAAGTGAGAACAGGGGGAATATTTCACCAATTTACTGTATGTGACCGTTGGGAGAGACCAACCAGTCAACCAGCCGGTCGACCGATTCCCTTGCAAATAGGTTCAAGAGGTTCAAAGAGGTAAAAAAAAAAATATACTAACCGGTCGACCGGCCAGTCAACCCACCAATCGACCCCTGCTTTGATGACAACCATTGGAGCAGTCTGTATCAGATTGAGAAAGTGGTCTTTTTTTTACTCAAATTTGGTGAAAAATTTGGTGAACCGTTAGAGATGCTCTGATGAATTATTATCATTTTGGGACCAAATTTTTTGTCTCAAAAAATAAATAATTTTGAAACCAAATTATTTTGTCCCTAAAAGTTTATTTATTAGTGACATTTTCAAAATTTTATCACTAAAAACCTTATTTGGACTTTTCTGGGTGACCTTTTAGCGACTATCCTCACGAGGATAGAAATTAATCCCTAAATGTCTTTTACAACAAAATTTTCACTTTTAGAGACCAAAATATTTGGTCTCTAAAACTCTTCTTTGTTGTAGTGATATTATTTAAATGTTTGGTTTTATTAAAAATTCTTAATAAAAAAATGATATGATTTTAAATATTATGGATCCAATTATTGTTTTTTTACACTTAAATAGTTGACATTAGTGAAAATCTATCCAAAAAACTATTATGGGTCCAAAAAAAATTCTATCAAAAATTCAGTATGTTAAGAAATTAGTGTAATTTATTTGAGTGATTTTCTACCCAAAAAAAAAGAGAAAATTTTGATAAATCCAATTTGAGGACCACGTGAGGCATTAGGTCCACTAGGTATTTGGTTTTTGGTGAGAAGTACATGTTTTTTATCAAATATTGTGGTGCGAAATCCATTTTATTGTTTTCAAGGATATTTTATCTAGTTTTACCTTTTATGTTGAATTTTTTAACCTATTTATTCAAATTGTTCCAAAAAATAAAAAATAAAAAAAAAATCTATCTATTGAAACTATCTGTTTAAAATTCCTATCTGTTGAAATTATCTGTTCAAATTATCGGTTAAAAAATCTATCTATCTATTGAAATTATCTCTTTTTAAATATCTATTTATTGAAATTATCTTCTTCTTTTTTTTTTCTTATATGTTCAACAAAGCATTCACAATCTTCAATATTTTTATCTGTTGAAATAATGACTTATACAAATGTTTCTCTCTCTATCTATTCAATTTTTGAACAGATATGTTCAATAACAACAACAAATTCTTTTATATGTTCATTTTGAACCAGATCATATATACTTGATTCACAATAAGAATAGTCATTGTTTTGCATATCTGTTCAAATGAACCATATCATATCTGCTTGATTCTCATTTTAAACAGATAAGATCAATAAACAATGGATTCAAAACCCTAGAAATCTGAAATAAGAAAGACAGAAGAGAAAGAAGATGCAAACATACATATATATATATATATATATAGAGAGAGAGAGACATAGAGACTAATATCTGTTCAATTTCTAGATCAAATCGATGAACCAACTTAGTGAACCTCAAATACCATAACCATTGAATATGAACTCTCAAATAAATTTGATAAAAATTCAAAGTACACAACATAAATTCAATCAAACAACAAAATCAAAGTTTTGATAACGAAATCAAACAAACAACCAAAACTCATGTAGTAAAAAAATCAGAAATTAAACAAAATTTCAAACTACTTCAAATCAAATCTAGTTTCTATAAGATCAAATCTACAGTTTCAAACTACTTCAGATAGTTTGAATCACACATATGTATAGAAAATCTAGCTTCTACAAGATCAAATATGAAGTTTCAAACCACAATAACAACGAAAAGGACCCCAACAACAACAACCACTGGAGGGAGGGAGGGAGAGAGAGAGAGAGAGAGAGAGAGAGAGAGAGAGAGAGAGAGAGAGAGAATATGGTAGTGGCGTAGATCACGTAGATTGGCCACTAGATTGTCTAGGGTTTCGATTTATCTGAAGCAATGGGAGACGGAGGAGTCATGAGAGCTGCAGTGAGGGTGGCCAAAATTGAAGTCGTTAACGTTGGTATCTACTACATTTCGATGAAGCATCCCATCGTCGCTGTTGCTCGCAAGGTCACTCGGCGATTGTTTCGTCTTGTAATGATGTGAAATCAAGCGTCAACGTGATCAACGCAACGATGCAGAGGCTTTGTTAAAAGCTCGACAAGTGGAAGTCCGCTGCATGCCATCGAAAAATAGCGGAGTAGCTTGGTCATTGAAGAGAATCTAGAGAGAAAGAGAGAGAGGAATGTGAAAACCCTAGATAAGAAGAGAATTGAGGGTTAGAACTGGTTACGATAGGTATATGTATATAGATAATTTGGATATTTTGCACCAGCTTGTTCTTATAGACAAAATATTTTAGAATGTGTACTTTCAAAAAACAAAATTCAAATTTGGATTTATTGACTGAGTGTCCAAAAAAAACCACAAATAATTATTGGTCTATATAATGGGATTTATCAGTTTCATAATAGAATTTTACAAAAAAAAGTAATATTAGAAACTCTTACAATATCATCTCCAAATTTATATGTATTGATACGGTAGAAATGGAGTCTTGGTTGGTTTATTTCTAAAATACAACAATTCATATCTTTAGAAATAAATTTAAGATTAATAATTTTTTACTCTTAAACATTTTTCTTTACAAAATAATATGACAAAATGTCAATTGCGAGGTATTATTCCCAGAACTATTAATAACTTTCAAGGACATCCACAACCACTTGTGTGGGGACATATTTTTGTGAATGACAGCACATGACCAAGGTGATGTCAAAGCGTCAGCCGAGGTGCCACGTGGCCTAGTCCTGATGCCGAGTTGATCTCAGTTAGGCCAAGGTTGTCTGCGGAGATACCAAAATCTGAGATAAGCAAATAAGGGACAAGAGTCCTAGAATAAGAGAGGATTTCAGCCTGGATAAAGATAAAATTCTTAAGGAGTTTATCCCTATTTAGCTAAGAGTCCAGGATGACCATTGAGCCTGAGTCTACTGAAGTGAGGCTTCTATAAGGATTAGATCAGTGCTGGCTATAAAGTAGGGCACCCCCATGGGTCTCAGGGATGGGTGATATACTGTGAGCAGTAAGTTCTTTCTTGTGAGTTTAAGTACAATTTGCTATCTTTGAGAGATATTTAATTGCTGACTTAATCGTTAAAGTGTCACCGGGTGGATGAATCACCGCTAGACTCTTATCTTTTTGTGACAAGTTGTTCGGGTTTAATCTATTCTACTGGTGCTCTCTAGCTTTTGATTGTGTGATCGGAAAATCAACACTCACAACTTGCATTGCCTGAAGTGTATAAGTTCGCCAACTGTAGAGAAACTATTTAATATTTTTAGAGTAAGTTGAAGTGATATTCTAAATGAGTAGTTATTAATTTAAAACATGTGACCTGTTGTTTTTGTTTTAGAATTTTGAGAAATAAAGTGCCAAGTAATAAAGTGGAACATTACTCAAAAAAATATTGATTAATTTACAACAATGCTATGTAACTCAAAATTTTGTGGCTCAAATGGCTCAAATCACTCAAACGACGTCGTTTTGAGTGTAAATGAGTGTAAAACGACGTCGTTTTAACAGATTTGAGCCATTTGAACCA